CCTAACTAATTTAACCTACACTCAACTTTGGTATTCTGGGGGGGGAGGGTAGGGCCTAAAATCTCAAATGTACCAAATCATGTAAAGTACTGATGAGGTTGACCTAAAATGAGTGAAAACCCCACATTTAGATCACTTCGGTTTGACCATCGAACCCCACTGGTTGATGTGTGGAGTCCAACTATTTATATCAACCAGCCAGTAGTATATAGCACCGTGCATTTTTGATTTCTTGTTATGGTGCTATTCAGAACACTATGTGTGGCCTGAATAATTTTGGGACAGTGGTAAAATTCCATCTCGAGTCGTGTAAGTTGCAATTTTGATTCAAATGATCCTAGAAACATATAGGACTATGACTAAACTAGAAATTTAATGCATTTATTCTAATGTATCTAAATAGTTCGGTCATCAGCTGGTCTCGATTACTCAGTTCCGCTCAAGTTTGAATTCCACTCATTGTATGCTGCAATGTAAATTCATTACACAACGATGTGGTATGTGTTTTCAGTTTCCATGTAAATTCACCTCGATTTACTTCCTTATTTTCTTTATTATTACTACTGACATACAAGAAAATGTCTTAATATATGTGTAAAACTTGGGCACTATGGTAGTAAGGAAATCCTGTGAAATAGAATGATATCATTTTATACTGCAAATTTCGTCTTCCTTTCTTTATCGAAATTTATCAAGGGAACCAGTTGTATGAAATCCATATAAGTTTGCTTACTCGATATGTCACACAGTGAAGCAGTAGATAATACTGTTTTACTTTGTGATATATCTGATAAACAAATTAATAAAGAAAATGACTTATTTAGCAAATATAAAATTACGTGTGACCAAATGCATGAAAGCATACAGGTGGCAAATTAATACAAAACACTTAGTCAACAAGAAAATGAGGTGAAATAATTTAGTGATGTGATCTGAATTAAACCATAAGTGGCAATCAAATACTCCCCGATGTCATTGGCTGGCGCTATATATCTCAAATTGACAGAGGTCCACCATCCACCTCTATACCGACTATCGCATACTCCGAGAAGACGAACATTTAGTTGCAGTGTGAGTCAACTACAATAATGAATAATGCATTGAGTCACTACAGCTGTTACGTGATTATTTTTTCCAGATTGTGTAGTCACTTCTCAACGAATTAAATCAAAACTTGCTCAGATATGCCTGAAATGTCTTCTTTTTTTAACAAGTAAATACTAAATATATAAACGATTGGGAATGTCTTCTGTCTTCTGACAATACGCATTACAAGGGGTGCACTAGAAAAACGAGAGTTAGTCACTACCCTTATTGTCTGAATGAAATAAGGATTAAAAGCAATACTTTAAGAAATACCTGTTGTATTTTACTGATTAATAATACCCAACTTCTAAGATTAAAAGTTGATATTATTTCGACACTTTCTTAGTTGACTTTATCAAATATCCACAAACCCTAATTCACAGAAAATTATTAACTGGTGTTACTTGACTGAAACCGTGAACAGATCTACTTATAAGACTGCCAACATTATCAAAAGCTGAACGAATATCGTTGCAATCAAAACGCTTGTAGAGCCAAAATTGTACAAACAAATTAAGATATCTACCACTTGACGTATAGAAGGAAATTACGCTAGCAAAACGGCATGAATGGAACTCAGACAGTAATGCCGAGTAGGGAACAAAGAGAACAATTAGTTATCAAATATATTCACAAAAACCACTACTAAAAAAGAAAAAAATACCACATTAGGAAAAGATTGGCAACACACTACCACTCACTCAACAGCTGCTACTTCAGTGAAACGAGAAATTTAAGTTGAACTGCACATTAACTCATGCCCACCACTAACTTCAGTGCTCAAGGTATTGATATCTAACCTGGACAACTTTACCATACGCTGATCGAACATTCATAAAAATTCTGTAGTTTTCAATTATGGGGTCAGTACTTTTCTGTCATATTGAAGTATTTGGTCCTCATACTGCAATTACTTCAGTTCATAATCAATTTTTTTTAACACAAAATCAACTAATATCGTGATCCAAGTGTTGTTTCCCCTTAACATAATTAAAGAAAACAGACGTGTGACATAAGCAAGACCACACCTTTAAAATGACATTCTCTAACAATGACAAGCCATTATGTAACTTTATGTAAGTCACTTAACCATTTTTGCGAACAGTTGCAGATATTTTCCCAATTTTTAACTGTCTAATCAATCCTTAATTTATTTGGATATTTTCGCGTAGATTTCAATGTTCAGTTTTGGAAGAGGAAGATTGCTCAATAACCACTTGCACTTAATTACACATGGTAATTAGTTACATCCAACGGTTGGTTTGGTTCGAGTTCACAAACCAGTGGCTGAAAGCCAAGCACCTTAATCAATTAGCCGTACCTCTAAACGGAAAAAGTGAGAAGCAAATATTTCGGTTAAAACAAGGTTTAGTTTGCCGTATCAATTTAATGTTTATTGTACAATAGAAAGTAAAAATAGTTAGAGTTAATGGTATATAAATATACAATCTTTCCACAAACAGTAAAATGCTATAGACGTTCAAGAATGAAGCGGTAAATACACATTTTAAAAACCCTATACAATGTTATATTTTATTGAAAGACGCAGTAGGGAGTGGAATAGACTTTTACAGAGAGGCTCTACGAAAATTTTCTTCACTCAATCAGAAGTTGAACTACTGTGAGAAGAATTTAAAGCTGATTCTAAAAGGAATTTGCTGAACCTATTTTCTGTTTTTTTGGATATGGTAATACCTTTAAATCCTAACTTCTTGGCAAGCCTCCGACGCTTCGCGATACGCTTGCGTGTTGTTGATAAGACAAGATCTGGATCCAGAGGGGCGACGCCGGGAGCTGTAGGGATGCATGCTTCTTCGAGTGTTTGTCCTGTAAATATCTGCCTTCGTAAGGGGGAACGCTCAGTGTTTCTGCATAACCTGTGGCAGCGTTGGTTTTTCTCAACAGAATTTTCCAAAATAGTTGACAAACCCCTGTGTTTCGGGGGCGTATACTTATTAGGAAGATAGACATCTGTAATATCTGATGGTATGTGTGGAGGACTTTGAGGTCTGACATTTTCCAATTCATCTTGCGATAAGACAGATACCTTATCGGGTGACGCAGTACAGCATGGCTGTGCAAAAATATCCGTACATGGTACATTCTTTCCATTCTGGGCAGGCGAATGAGAAGAGTTGCACGATGCGTCATAAACTGCATCCGTCTACAAAAAAGGAATATTAATTAAAGTGTGGATTAGTACCATATATTACTCATGGTTGAAGATACTAGCAATGTAAAGCATAGTCTCATGTACCTAGGTAATAGCTATTCAGTTTGTTCGTTCTATTAATTTGAGGACCAAGAAATTATGAAGAAAATAGTGGCTTTTGAAATACAATATGATGCGTCAACAAAATTCAAGCTACAAGACGTACATGCCGAGCATATCTTAAAGCATGACAATGTAATTCAAATGGGTATGTGCTCGACCCGTCAGAAAGATTAACGGAAAACCAGCTTAAATTTGCACTGTAGATTTGTATGTTTTATGAACAAGGAGAGACGGAGAGAAAGGGGATGTTTATATAAATGACAACTAAATCAAAATGCTTGGGTTTTCACACAAGGCGACTGGGTACTTAAAGTGGACAGAAGTGAAGAATTTCGCGAAAGCTAGAAACGGTTAACGAATGGAATAACTATCTTGAAGTAGGATATTTGAATGTATGAGAACTCATATATGTGATTCATCTATGCAATCAAGTACAAAGCATGCGTTAAAATGGCAACACCACGGTCCAAGTTTTTATATGTCCTGTCCTGTGTTACTTTCACTATTTTGATTTATCATTTAAACAGACTACCAGTTTTGAAATCTTTAAACAGAAGCACTGAACAATTCGCATACAGAAGATGTGACGAATATTCGTAATAGTCTGATATAGCTAACAACTACATCAGCCAACTGTCAACAATGCTAACGCAGACTACATTCGAATGCAAAACAAGACCAGTAAAGTGATATGGTATCGATATCCAATACGGTGAATACGTTATATATAAACCTTGTCTTAATGACGTTTCAATTTGGAAAATCTATATTGAAAAAGTATGTGGAACAAAGATTATTTAACAGTGATTATATGAACATACTGAGTTCACGGTGCAGCGGTAGAATTACCATCGACCTCGGATGTCCACACGGTTTCAATCGCCAGCCAACGCACTCCTAAACCTCGGTGAACCAGAAATGAAGCTGCTTAAGAGAAATCGGTTGAGCGAGAGGATAGAAACCCCATCCAATATCCAATATGCGAAGTCCTAAATATTCCCACGTGCTGTCGTCTTTTATTGATGTGCTGACTCATTTTCATTCCTGCACATCGAAAGTAATTTAACGTTGAACATATGTTTAGTATCAAACCCTTGTCATTCTGCTAACAACCCCATGCTGTAAAAATAAACATTGCTACAGAAAATTCAAGTCTCTAGCTTGAAGCCCTATATTCCACTGGGAACGTGAAGGAATGAAAATAAATAAATAAATAAATAAACAAGTAAATTATTCAACGTAGCAGACGCACTTACCTGAGTTTGCGGGTCTATCACAGACTTTCGACGATATCTTCTAGATGGTAGTGTTTGTTCGTCATGGGACACTGCACATGTAGATTTGCGGCGTAATCTCAAGGATCTTCTGCGAGTTCCACTCGAGTCGGCACTTCCTGGTGGGGAATCAATGATATTTGTTAGGTCAAGACCCATGACAGATTTCCTTCCGCGCTTCGATCCGCTAAGAGGGATAAAAGACAGACAATAATGGGCGTTCATTCTCCTATATTATTGCAGCGACTTATAAAGAATAAGCATAGTGAACGCAAGTGCTTAATTAAGTAAATTTAATTGATTAAACACTTGCGTTTGCTTATATATATATGTATATATTATATAACGAATGGACCGAAACTGACCTCATCGGAAAAATTGTGACAACTGGAGCTTCACCTGAAAAATAGGAAAGCAAACACACTGACCAACAGCCCACACTAAACCACAAATGGGGAAAACAACCCTGCGAGCAGAGCGAACGACTATAGCAACAAGAAGAGTTGACTTAGGCGCGATGACTCAAGGTTCATTGCTTTGCATCATTCCATAAGTGATCCACTACATTCAGATTGCAAGTATCTTTGATATTGGATAGAGAAATATTGTTATATCATGGCAGAGTTGAAGGGACGAACACACCAGAGACCTTTAAAGTAACAGTCGACATCAGAGGGCTAATTTAAGACTTTTATTCAATCCTAACCAGAATATATCACTGATTAACTTTAACCCAGAGTCCACGCCTTTCTTACCTAACTGTGACTCACATCTCTCCTTAATGTACCCCAATCCAGCCTCAAACAATCCTAATATTCCCACAACTTAACCCCAACAGTTTCTCGGCTTGACCCTAACTCTGATCTTTAACTGGTTCAACCATACACTTACCAAATATCCTGCACTTCCTTAATGATTTCTCGAAGAATTTAGCATCCCCTATCTAGTTTGAATAAACATAATATTTATTAAAAACCACAGACAGTGAGACATAATTCCCCGAAGTATTTGCGTTATCTAAAAAAGTGAATGGCATAATTCTTCACTTTATGCTTCCTTACATATATTCTATCACATTGGTCTGTGGATATCACGTGGAAACTCTAAAATCATAAGAATATGCCTAAGAATGCATGTCTCATTGGAAAAGGACTATATGAGAACTTACCAGTATATAAAAGGGTAACACGCGCAACTGCAGTCGTACGTGTAACTGGTTAAATACTGTTATCGGATGCCCGAACAGTAGGTAAAAAATAAATAGTACAGTACATGTGGGACGCCAGTTTACAGGCATCATCAAGTTGTTACAGAAATAGAACCATATAATTCAGTCACAATTTACAGGCAGTAGCAAGATATGCTTTACATGTTCGCTGGAGATTATACATACACTTGATAAATGTTAATCCCAGGAGTATAAAACAGCCTTTTCACTCATACACAATCATTTCTGTGCAAAGTTGGAAAAATCTGCTAGATTGTCAGTGAGTGCAACACAACAGGAAATACAGGAGTATTGTCTTCGCATTAACAAAATAACCAGGTCTTTGGTGGATGGATTATAAGTGCCTGGGAAAAAAATAAAGCTTGCAGTCAATATTCATACATAACTTTGTTGTGTGCAGAGTCCTCGAATTATAGTTCATTGATTTGTTATTTTGAAATCAGTGATGTGTTTATCTCATTTGATCTTCAATGTCATTGTTGGGAGTAAGTACATAAGCTTCGGACGCATTAATTAATGGATTTCTACTGCTTGCGGGTATTTTCTTAGCGTGAGGAAGGTTTATGAGTTTCAGCTGTTCCGACAGGAGTTGAGAATATTAACTGCTCAGCAACATTATGGATATAAGTTCATCACATTATCTAAGGAAAGGTGGGTTGCAGTTGGTGAGGGATATATGGTGCCCAACGAGCGTTCATCTGTCCTTGTGATGTTGTGGTGAGTTATACCTTTCTCATGTGGTCGGTTTATGTCCATTTTATTCCACTTATTGTGTTGGGTAGTAGTTTTACAAACGAGATTTCTTGTCTGTTTGAGGATACATATCTTAACCGTTAATGTTTTATCTAGAATTATAAATATAGGCAAAAAACAACAGGTGTAGTATTTAAGCTTATACATTAAATGGGCCTATAATTTCGGAGGCTCTCAGATAGGAACTAGAACTACTATCGTTTGCAAACTCTTGTAGTTTGTCATTAAGCACCTTTTTGAAGGAGGCCAATGTACTTGCTTGACGCATTTCCATTGGCAGTTTATTCCATATCTGTGCATACCTAATCAAGTAAAACTTTTGCCTGGTGGTTGTTTTACATTGTTCGATAGCTACTGTACCCTTAGAGTGTCTTAGTTTGTAGCCATTGTCATCTGAAAGTCGAGTGCCATTAGTAGAGGTAAAAACTAAGTGGTTTAGAAGCTTATAGTAAAGTGTCAAGTTTAGTCTCAGGCGTCTTAGCCATAGTGTTTCTAGTCCTAGGGTATCACATCTAGTGGAGTAGTTCGTACCATTTTCAGTACCGAGTAATTTTAACGTGAAGTACCTCTGCACTCCCTCGACTTTCAATTTGTCCTCTATGCGTATGCTACTATATATGAATGAACAGTAATCATATAAAGGACGCACACAAACCTTGTACAACAGAATTCTAGACCCATTTCTGTAGAAGTTCCTGAGTAGAAAGCCGATAAGTCTGCGTGACTTTGACACTTGTTTGGAGATATGTTCAGAAAATGATAAGTTATGTGAATATTTCAGCCCTAGGTCCAGTACAGATTCCAGTCGTTGAAGTGCATGGCCTTGAATTGTCAGGTCAAGTTTGAAATTGTTGCAACCTATGCAGAGCCAGCCACATTTTTCGACATTAAATTGGAGTTGCCAGGTGTCACACCATCTATCCATTTTTTCTAATTCTTGCTGTATGGCGTTTACTGTTATTCCAAGATCTGTGTTCTTGCATTTATACGTCACTTTTAAGTCATCTGCATATAGTATTGGTTTACCTACACTAAAGCATTCACAGATACTGTTTATATATATTATGAATAAGAGTGGGCCTAATACACTTCCCTGGATCACACCACTACTTACTGGTTTAGGCCTTGAGATTATCGAGCCAACTTTCTTTGTCTGACTTCGGCCACAGAGAAATGATTTTATCCAGCTCAGGAGAGGGTCACATATCCCTAGTGAGCATAACCTGCTGACTAGCAGATTATGGGGAACTCTGTCGAAGGCTTTTGTTATATCGAAATATAGCACAATTACTAGTTCTCTGTTGTCCCTACTTCGTGTAACTTCGTTGAAAAAGTCTATGTGACAGGTCACACATGATCTTTTTTTAAGAAATCCGTGTTGTGATGGATTGATAAGTTCATGTTCTAGTAAGTTGTCTGACACTTGGTCTTTAACCACTTTCTCCATTATTCTGGATATTACCGGTGTTATATTGATAGGTCTATAGTTGCATACACTGGTTTTGGCCCCTGCTTTGTGCTTAGGTAATATGTATGTGGTTTTCCACACTTCAGGATAAGTTCCAGTTTCCAACGAGAGAGTAAATATTCTAAGTAACAAGACTACCATTTCCGTGCTACCATTTTTGTACATGACAGATGGTATGTCATCTGTTCCAGTACTACCATTAGACTTCAAAGTCTTAATCGCTGAGTCTATATTTTGTATATTAAAGTTTATTTCGCCTAATTTTTGCTTGCTTTTGCAGGTCATTTGGAAATTTTGGGTCGGGTGCACTCTGGCGTCATTGCAAAACCACTCATTGAGGAGTTCACTTATAACCTGGGGAGCATTGTATATTATACCCTTATGTTCCAAGCTTCTTACAGTATTGTCTTTACTGCTTTTTAGACGTTTCTGCAATATCCTACAAAGTTCATGTGTTTTGGAGTTGCCCACAAGCGCTTTATTTTCTTCAAGTTGTGACCTCATTTTGTGTTTCTCTTCAAGCCGTTTAAGAGTTTCATGTATTTGGTTTAACGCATTAAATTCCTTAAATACATGGTATTTCCTTTTCAATTTCTTTAGTTTTAGTCGCGTTTTGCGGTCTATAAATGGAGTTGGTGTCTTTAGAGCAGATTTTAGGGGCGCGATTATGTCTCTTGCTGAGCCAATTGTTTTGTAGAAAATATCAAGTGATACTTCTAAGTTATTGTTAATGAAGTATTCTTCCCAGTCAGAACTTCCCAGCAGATCTGATAAGAATTCCCAATCGGCATTCTTATAGTCCCTATACTGATAGTGCACCGGGGAATTTTTAGGTGTGTGTTTAGTTGTTAGTCGGAGGGGTAGCGTGCAGTACAATATGTTGTGATCACTGTTATCAAGTGTATTTCCTACCTCTATCGAGATGGGCTCTATTTCATGACAAAGGATTAAGTCAAGAGTGTTTCCATTTCTTGTAGGGAGGCGTACGCACTGCTTCCATCCGCCTACGTCTATAGCTTGTAGTAGCTCGTCATGGATTCTAGGTCCTGTACAGGTATCCCAGTTTACTCCAGGTAAGTTGAAATCGCCACAGACTACTTTGTAGTCAAAGTCCAGCGAAGCTACATGCTCTAGTATTTCACCAATAATTATATCAGTCATTTCAGGGCTATTAGGGGGTCTGTATATACATCCCACGAGAATTTTATTTTCGTTTGTGTGGATGCTTATCCACTTAGATTCAGGGAGTTTGTCAGTAGTTGGGTTATGGAAAGTATTGGAGTTAGTGGATTTAGAGACATATATTAAGCAGCCGCCTCCTCTTTTGTCAACTCTATCGTTCCTATAGATGTCGTAGTTGTCTATTACTAGCTTTGAGTCAGGTATATCAGTAGTAAGCCAGGTTTCAGTCACCATTATTAGTGTTGGTCGTTCTATGTGTGCCAGGCAGCGAAGCGATGTTATTTTGTTAAGGAGAGATCTAGCATTCAGGAGCATAATCGTTAGTAAACCAGAGTTATTGGGGGAGAGGTTAACATGGTTACTTGTTACTATTCCTACGTTGTGTTTGGAGAGGCTCTGAGGTGAGACAGAGTCAGTGTGTGTACTATTTCCTGGATGAATTGTGCAGCGAGTGGGGCTATTGTTTGCTGCATCCGAAAATAATCCTGTTGCATGTTTTGACTTTTAGCATCCATGGGTGGGCATCTGCGTTCATTTACTGGTGATATGTAGTTTGCTTGACCTAGGTACCCTGTGTTAAGATTACCTTGGTAGTTGTACCTCATGGGTCTTTCATAGTGGTATGCATATTGGCTCACATCACATGTGTGAGTGAAGTTATTGAGAGGGTCAAGTGTGGATCTATACTCATTATGTTGCTGAGGTTCAACATAGATAGTGTGAGAGTTTGGACAAGAATATGCATTAATATGGTGCCTATATGAGCCCCGTTTAGTGCTCCTTATATCCTGATGATCCGTTCTACGTTGCATTCCCAAGTTATGTGCGTTGCTAGGCATATTACTCCTAG